AAAGATTTTTTAAATGGGACACCAAAAGCACCTGCAAAGACCCAATATTCAAATGGAGTCAAACGGGCAACAGGGCTTAGAACTTCAGCATATCTTTGAGGAAGAGATAGTTGAACAAAAAATCAAATAATAATGATTCCCAATTGAGGATTGCTTTCATGTTAATGTAAGCAAATTGAGCCTCTCTCTCTCTCTCTCTCTGTCTCTCTCTCTCCTTAGAGTTTTTCACATACTGCATAAGAAATGCACCTTCCTAAATTATGTTTACTCTTTTCTAATGTATTGATGTTGTGATTAATAAAACATAGATTCATCTGAAAATACTATGAATTCATTGTAGCTTTTGGACATTTATTCAGTTTGTAGTTGATCTACCCATAACTGCTACTATGTGGATCCCTGTTTTTCTTTTTACTTTTAACAGAAATAGTATCTCACCCACTTTATGCCACACTTTGTCACTTGAGGACCAAAGTAATGTTGCCTCGGCCCTTTTGTCTTACAGAGTTTGTGGCCAAAACAGCTCCTTAAGAAGCTTCTGCTGCTGTCTCTTGCTACAAATGTTTGCTACAAATGTTAGACATGAGTGCATGGAATTGAGCTAGGAGACTAGTGTGTCTTCTCTTTTCTATTTATGTAGTACCCACACAAACTCCTCTTCTCTCTAGTCCAAACTCCCGTGTGGATTCCTTACTGTAAATGAATTCATCCTAAGGATGAAATCAAGGGAGAGTGTAGGACTTGAGTTACAAGGATGTTGGATACAACACTGTTAGGATGAAAACGTGGACCCAGCCTAAATATTTACAAAAGAAACTGGGCTACTTTAATGAATAGCCTTATCGTAGGATTCTTTGTATTTAGCAAGAATTATTTTAAGCTCTGTTTTTCAAGTCTTTTCAAGTCTTACTTGGAAGTCCAATATATGAATAGATGTATTTAAGAAAGAAAGAAGTTTTATGTACAGAAATCCATATATGGAAGAAAGATGGGATATTTGCATTAAAACAATGAGTATGTGACTTTGGATCTTCTCTGTTTTGTCTTTAATTTTAAAAATGTTATTCATGTATTTCTTTGAGAATAAAGAAAAGGAGAGGCATTTCTTCAATATTAAAAAAGTATGGGCCAGGGATTTAGCTCAGTGGTTTCACCACCTGCTGTGCAAGTGCAAGGACCCAAGTTCGATCCCCGGTACCAAAAAATGAAAAAAATGAAAAAGGAGCATTGCTTTAGAGGAGACTTCACATTTAGAAATGCAGGAAATGCTCACCAATGTAATAATTTTCCAGATTGTCAATGAAAGTCTTTACTAGCTGTTATATTAATTGTGAACTTCGTTTCCAAGTTCAGAAACAGCTAATGTCTAATATATAATAGCTTTGGTAGAGGGAATGGAAGTAATTTAGAAAAAAATTTCCTGTTTGATCTGTCGTATGTCCAGGAAATGAGAGCCTTTCTAAGGGTCTGTTGTATGCTTTTAAGTTCTTCAGTAAAAGCTATTTTTTAAGTTTATTTGAGATCTTACATTACATTTTAATAATCTTTTTTTTTTTTGGTACCGGGGATTGAACTCGGGTCTTTGCGCTTGCGCAGCAGGCGGCGGAAACCACTGAGCTAAATCCCTGGCCCTAATGATTATTTTTGAATCAGAATTGAGCTCCGTGATTCCTATTATTTGATACTTTGTATTGCAAGATCCAGAGCTTTGAAACTAAAAAAGCACCATGAGAAATTATCCATGACTCATTGTGTCACCTGAAGCTTCTGCTTGTTTTAGAGTCCTTTTGATATAACTACAGTTTTATTGCCAGCTCCAGCAACTACTTTCATGCTCTATATCTGTATGCTAATAAAAAAGTATGATGGAAGGGCTGTTACATGGTAGCTAACTCTTGGTTTTCTTTGTTGTTGTTTTTAATTCCATAGTTTTTTGTTCTTTTTATGACCCTAAGCCATACCAGTTAAAAGTTGTAGGTGGTAAAAGGATTTATGACTTGTGTTACTTCTACATTTTGTTCATAAATATTACTGTCCATACATCTAAAATCTGGATTAATAGTTTAGTTGATGTCAGTACAATGGGCTGAATCCCTCTACTTTTTATATATAGCAGACAAATGCTGTCTTCTGTTTTGTCATTTTGTGAAAAATTGTATAATACTAGAGCAAGCTGGTTCAGATTCTAATTTTAGTTTCAAATTTTTTCATCTGGAGTGTTGTTAAAAGTCTGTTTTTTTCTCAATAAAGAAAATATTTCTAATAGATAATTTATTACAAGCAAATATGGAACATAAAACTTGGTAGTTCTTTGAATTTTTTTTAATCCGGAAGAAATTCTGTTTTAAGAATCTTAGAGATATCCCAATTATAAAACCAACCCCCTCCCCCACACAGTAAAACCTGGCTAAAACGAGAATTCGATGTAGGAAATTAAAAGTAAGAGCAGCTAGTCACCTTGATCCCAGTGACTAATTCCTGATCATCATTTCCTTTTTAAAAAATCATGATTCTTTATATTGCTACTTTGAATTTGTCTGATATCTAAAAAATACATATATACACATGTAAATGTACACAAGCATATTCATTGTTGACTAAATGTCCAAGTCAACAACATAATGTTTTCAAAACCCAGACACATTTCATTAGGCACCTCTTAACGTTGTGTCACCATTTACCTATATCTGTTCTATGCAAATGTGTAACCAAAGGAAAGTTTATGATTAGACTGCCCAATGAGTGGGGTCTTGAAAATACAGTTCTCCAGAATTTGTCCCATCAGACTAATGTTGAACAAGGTCACTTTTGAGCCTTTAGATCTGCTTTTCTATGCCATTGATAGTGTTTTATTATCTTCTCTTCCTTGGCCTCTTTTGTGAATCATCATCTTAATTCTCATTGGTTTCCACCTTTATTCTCAGTCTTGCAGATGCTGGTTTTTTCCCCAGGATTTGAACGTTGGTATTTTTCTTTATGACTTGGTGTTTTAAATTTCTATCACCAGATATTTGAGTCAGATCTACAACTTTAGACTTAGGCTTTTTTCTTAGGTGTCTGGCTTCCTGTTTCTAGCCCTCAGATCTCATCTCTATTTCAATATTCAACAGCTGGAGGGAATTTTACAAAACTATAGAGTCATTTTGGTGATTTTCTTAACTGAAAGTCCAGGAAGGTTCTTGATATCATTTGTGTATATATGCACACATATATGTGCACACCTTTGTATGTATATATTTGTTTTTACAGATACTTTAAAGTGAGAAAAATAATATGGTCTAAGATTTTTTTATTTGAAAAGTTCTTTTTAATCTATAGTTTATGAATGTAGTAAATAGATTGTGAGAGGGAACTTATTCCGTGATAGTCTTTCTTCATCTTCTCATTACACTTTTGTCCTCCTTTTTCCGTTCCTTTTTCATTCTCCGGTAAGAGAAAATAGCTCAGGAAACTAGTGTACAATCAGTAATCTGGGAACTTCCAGGATTCTTTGCCAGAATCCTCTTGAATGTTGCAGATCCTGACACAAGCAGCATTGTTCTAGGGTAGTTTTTACAATGCTATAAGGCAGAGTGACTGAGGTTGATAAACTGCAGGTATTATCCTTTGCAGAAACTCAGTTGGGAATCCTTTTCTGCCAATTTTTGTATTCATCTGTAAATTTAAAAACATGTTTCCATTACCTCCCATTCCCACCAGAACAAAAATGGATGGACTTACATAAGAATTCCTATTTCTGAAGACTTGGTTGTCTTTTGTAATTAATATGTTCTTTTTTGGTACTGGGACCGAACTCGGGACCTTGAGCTTGCGAGGCAGGCGTTGGAACCACTGAATTAAATCCCCGGCCCCTAATATGTTCTTTAGAGGAGTGTCCACGCTCTTGTCCCAGAATCTCCTTTCCTTGTTGCCATTTGTTGTGTATTATATGCCGTCATTTATCAGGGAAGTTTTTAGGTTCTTTGTCTTTTTCTGTGGATCAATTTTGACTTAAATAGGACTTAAAGGGAATTACAATTAAACTTGTCTTTTAGATTTTTTAAAAACTAGACTCGTGCTAAATAAAATATAGTCATTCAGGTATCATTATTTTATGTTTATTTATTACTATCTTTATTTCAAGCCTTTTAAAACCCAATTTATTATCTTACTAAAGCACTGTTCTTATTATTTACCCAGATAATCTTTACATAAAGTACCATAGGTCAAAATGGTCTATAAGGAACAGAAATCAGAGGAATGGGAAGATACTTAAGACTATCCCCTTAAGACTTAGTGTGTATATATAACATTAAACTCTTATTAAGAAGCCCCTGCAGTATTTACTTAAAAGAAAGAGAAGGAGGAAATGCTTTGGCTCTTTCTTTCAGCTTACAGAACCCCTAGGAGTTGGCCATAAAAGAAAACAGAAAAGAGTGTTTGTTGTTATTGTTGTTTGTTACTTTTGGAACATATTTTTAGTAGCTGATAGTACTGCAAGGGTAATGAGATCACTGTTATTAAAGCTAAACACAAATAATTAATGATCATGATTTGATTCAATAGTGCAGTATTCAGCACCTAGATAAAACTTCAGAAAGCGGGGAAAAGTGATGTGCTGAAAGGAACTGTTCCTGCTAGGAAAACTTAGTATTTTAAGGTAAAACATTTCATTTTGCCTTCATTATTTTTAAAATGTGTAAAATCAAAATCTCTCATCAAGCTATTTTTTTGAAGATTATACAAGATAAAACATTCGAAAAGTTTAATGATCAGAATCTAGGCAGCTGTGCATAAATTTAGCAGTTATTATTTGGATTTTTTAAAAGAGCAGTTGTTCTCTGGGACAGCTGATGGTTATAATGCACCTGCAATTTAAGATTTGACAAAGTAAAGATATTTGAAAATGATGTCCAACTTCTTACTCCACTTGTGTTTCTTCTGGTTTAGTAGAATTAATTTAAAATAATTTATCCTAAAAGTGGAATAACTACAAATATCTTTTTTTCCCTTTGTTTCAGGTTTCCCCTCAAAAAACCAATAAGGTAAGTTATTCAGTTGTCCGTCATACTAAAGTTAAATTTTAATTAGAAACATTCCTTCAAAATTATGAGCATTTTTGTGGTTTTTGAGAATGTGGGTTTAAGTAAGACAAAATTTCATAATACTTCACAAATTTAAAGTACAGCAGGTGTTGTGTATTATTTTTGGAACACAAGTGTTTCAATAATATTTTCAGTGTTTTTAATATAAGCAGTTTTAAAGTTTGTTCAAATTGATACTTAAGGTCACTCCCTATAAAGAGATTTAATTTTAAAATCTGACTGTTTTGAATTGTGTTGCTTGAAAGGTGAAAATGGATTGCTAGTTTTTGGAGGGTTTTATCACTTGAGTGACTATAACTGTGTTTAATGAATTTTGGTATTGATTTAGTCTTAATTACTTTAAGACAAATGTGAACATTTGTCTCTACCTGTATTTATATATTTATTTCCTGGGATGAGACATCTAAGACTCTTCCCCTTTATTTGTACTTTAACATCTCTTCTCTTGTCTCTTAATTATCATAAATATTATTTAAAATGTAGGTAGTATGGCATTCCTAATTTTTATAGTACTTTTATCATTTTTAGTGATAGTATCATCCAGGATACCAAGGCTAAGCTAACCTTGACACTTTAAATAATTAATGGTATATGTGTCATAGTTAGGGTCTTACTTGTTTCCTAGCCATTATCTGATCATTATAATTGTCTACACCATAGAAAAAAATGATTCTGGTGTCATCTTGGGCCTGAAGGTGGTTTTTAAGACTTCTGTGGCTAGAACTATATAGGCAGGCTTGAAATGAGACTTCCCTGAGGTTTGTTTTTATAAATTGTTCTCATGCATCCTGCATTTATACAGTGATTTTGAACTTGAACATAGTATATATAGAGTTAGAGAATATGTTTAATTCCTTTAGGCAATATTTTCTTAACCATTAAATGTAAATGATAGCAATGGACCTGTGAAAAACTACACATAGTAATTTCTGTGAATAAAACAGATTTTAATAATGAATACTATTTATATTATTTGAAGCATTTCATAACTAAGTAATTAAACAGTATTATATGTGGCATAGACTGAATTTTAAACCTTTTTGCAGAATATAAATTAGGCTAATGATGTCTCTGTAAGACACAGTTTTGGGATTTTTAAATTAAATTTTAATTCTGATGCTTTTCTTATAGTGAACATTTGATTGCTTTGATTTAATTTAGGCATGGAAGTATTTTGAACCGAGAGTCACCAACAGATAAGAAGCAGAAAGTTGAACGCAGTGCATCCCATGATTTTGACCCCACAGGTAAAACACTGTCTGTTCTTCCAGTGAATACTGAGAATAGTGAAGTTCAGAATAACACAGTTTAAGCTCCCTGAAGCACTCGGGAGTTGTTTTACCTGTTATACTCTCTCTCTCTGCTCTAATCATATAATTTCAGACCTTTGTATTCAGCAGGAATGCATACATTTTTAACTTTCAACACTATAGATTCCACTGATGCATCATTGTAGGGTGTATTATATTTTTAAATAATTATAATAGAAATATTTATCATGATTGAAGATTTGGGTCACACCAAGGACTCAAATTAAGATGCATCATGGTGCATAGATGCATGATACATAAAATCAAGGCTATAACATCTACAAACTTCTTTGGTAATTTAAAAGTTCAGTTTTGATCATAGTGAATTGAAGTAGTAGATAAAATACAACTTCAAAATTAATAACTTTCTCATTGTAGAGTAAGCAAATGGATAAATTCCTTTTGTTCAGTCAAAAAGTATTCTGAACTCAGCTGTCTTTCAACCTCCGTAGTATTGATCTTTCCTAGGTTTTTTTTTTCCCCTACGGTTTTCATGTTAGCAAACTTTAATTACTCTTAGTTTTATGTACATAGATAGAATTTGTTTCATAAAATACATGCTTTTCCTTTTGCTTCTCCTTGTAAACTCAATATTTGTTTTATAAAAATTGCTTAATTTTGCTTTTGTTATTTGAAATGGATATATGTTCTTTGAGCATATACTATTTTATTTCGTTGTATGTCCCTGTGACAAAAAATAAAGTAACTGCTGCAATCTCAGATACATAATACTATGTAATGTGTTTTTTTAAAGATTTTTACTTAGAAATAGTTTAAATATTTAGTAGAGACTAATATATTTGTAATTAAGATGTTTCATACTTTTAGTATGAATTGCTTTCTTATTTTGAAATAATATATTATCTAAGAAAGAAAAACTAGGAAATAGATAGCTAATGCTGTACCTGTTTCTTGGTTACTAGGTAAGAGGAAATCCCAGTCATCGATTTAGGAGGCTTTTGTGGTGAGAGTAGTAATGTATCACTTAGGGGTCTCCATGAAGAAAGAATTCTCAGTTTCTGACACCTAGTTTTGAAGTCATGGGGCGCAGAGGCTCTTATTTATATGAATAATTATTGTCTTCCTGATAAGGTACAAGTTTCTGGCCTATGTTCATAAAAATATTATGGTCTTGTTGGATTTATTCTGTATTATTCATCTGTGATGTGCCCTCTTCAAAGCTAGATTTAGCATGTAATACTTCATAATGAGATTATTATAGCTCTTTGTGCTTTTGTCATTACTACAATTATCAGATGATATATTTTATAGACTATTCATGTTTTTTTTAATTGCACTGTCTTTTCTTCAATAAATCTTTAAAATGTGTCATTACCTGTACTATTCATGACTATTCTAAGTGCTGTCATCTGTGATGTTCATACTTTATGTTTGCACGATTTAACTTGATCATGATTCATTTCCTTTTTCCCCATGAATTTTCCCCCTTACATTGGTCTCCATATTTTCTATATCTCTCCTTTTCTCCCGCTCTTGTGCAGACAGCTCCTCCAAGAAGACAAAGTCTAGTTCAGAGGAGAGTAGATCCGAGATATATGGTAAGCTGATGTAGCTAATTCAGCCTTGCACCTTTGGAGCTTGCTTCATGCTGTTTCTTTTTCTTTTTTTTTTTTTTTAATAACTGCAGCCTTTCTTGTGTCTGCTCTGCATGGCATGGTATACTGCAGGGAAAGGGAGCCTGGGGTTTTAATGTGGCTATGACATGGAAGCTTAAGGTGCTAGAAACTAACGTAGATTGAGAATAGGCCGTATTACTTATCTCCTCTTTCTTTTTGTTTATGTTAGGAAAGTGATTGTCTCTAATATATTTGGGTTAGGTTCCTTCAAGTAACATCAGTGGGTTTTTATTGTTGGCATCTTTTTCCCATGTTCATTTGCAGAGTTTGGATTATGTAAAATCTAAGCAATTAAATCTTTTCCTCTAAGTATAGTACTGGCATAATTTAAATGTGTTAGCAGTTCTTTGGAATTTTTGTTTTCTATTGTTTCTTTTTTATTGCTTTATCACCTGGAAAAGGCATTCTTTTAGAATGTATCCATAATAGCAAAAAAGAAAGTATTATTTTAATGCTTGAAGAATTTGTTTGTGTCTTTAGAAGTTTTCCTGAAACTTATTCTGAGTAATAATATTTCAAAATGATACTTAAGAAAAAAATCTTCATAAAGAACAGGTTTATCCTGATCAGTCAACTTTTTTCCTTTTCTTTTTGATACCAGAGATCCAATTTGGGATCTTACGCTTGCGAAGCAGGTGGCAGAACCACTGAGCTAAATCCCTGGCCCTCAACTTTTGCAACAGATGATCACAAAATGTTAATATTTCTAGATTGTGCCCTATCTTCCAAGGATACAATAAATTCTTGTTTGTGAAGTTCACACAGATTTTTCCTTTTCCTTTGCAGTATTACCTGCACACATCTGTTTTTTGGCATATAATTAGTTTTTTGAGAAAAATGAATAGGAGAGGCATTACCTGGAACAAAGATTTTTAAAATAATCTCTGCAAGACTTATTTCTTTTAAGGAAAATTCTAAACTTAGCCTCAACAAAACAAAACGAAACAAAACAAAACAATAAGCTTTCTTTGATAGAGCCAAAAGTTTATCAAGTAGAAGTTTAGCCAGGTGCAGGTATCTCCTATCTCCTTGATATAAATGAGACAAAAAAAATATGGAATTGCCTCTTTTACCTTTAAAACAGTTGACAATTTACATCTACTGGAACTTGAGCCCATAATATCAGATACTCATTATTATTATGAAGCCTCAATGTTTGGTTCTAAACCAATCATTTAATGTTTTTATGTTATATATAAACACACAGTGTTTTACTTGGCATTTTTTGTAACATGTCAAGTTTATGCTTCCCTCTGAAATATTGTGACTGCTAATGAGAAAGAAATACTTTCCCAATTCCTTAAGACACTGTTTTTCTGTTGTATGTAAAGAGCTTTCTCTAGTTTACACTGTCCAGCGTAATATGAATATTATCCTGATAGCTCCATTCTTGTTGTATTTCATCTCCCTCACCGTTTTCCCACATCTGTGGTATGTATACAGAAACTTGTTATTTGCTTTGGATGAGGACTAACAATTTAGGGATCTATGACAAGAAATATTAGACTAATATTTTTCTTGCCAGTGATAGGATATTATACTAGTTACAACATGCCATTAGCCTGGTAGTAATAGAAAAATTTTAAGTGCTAGTTGGTTAGTAAGGTGTGGTCTCCTTGTGTGTGATTCTTGAGAACCCTTGAAATACCTTGTTTGGAAAGAATTGAGCCACTAGTCCTCAAAGAACACTGATGAGAGGGGTGAGTTGATCCGGATAGAGTTTGCATGGTAATGTAAATTTCTTTGACATTACAGATGTTTTATTACCTGTATAGATAGTCTTTAGGCTGGGTGCAGATAGTAAAGGACACTCCAGGAAGTCTAAGAAAGTTTGGAAATATAAGAATGTGACTGAGAAGAAGAATAATAGGAACAGGGGACATTTCTGCTTTAGTGTAGGGTCTTACTATCAGCCCACTTAATGGTTTTGAGATTATAGGTTATCTTCTCTTAGGGTAAAATACTTTATCTGGGTACTTAACACAAACATTTATAAATTATTTATTTTAAGCTTTCTTAGCCATTTTTAGAGCTACTTTGTGAAAAAGATCTACTTTGCTCCTTTCAAAAGGAAACCAAGCTTCTGTTTTTTATTGACTTACTAAATTTCTGCCCTGTGTAGTCAGTCAAAATTTATTCCATTTTTCCCTTGTGCTTCCTTCTATACCGTTTACACTCTATTGGACATGTAATGGATGTGTTTTGTCAATTGCAATTTGAGTATTTGATTTTCTACTTTTCTTTCTAACATTGAAATGAGGAACTTTTGTGGGGTTACTGTGAGATATGAGATATACAAGAGAATTTTGAATTAGATTATAGCTTTTTCTTAACTTCTGTCGCAATATCCTGAAGAGAGTTCCATTAATAATATTTTGTGCAATAATAAGCCACGTCCTTTTAAATCTGTTATTGTACTTGGGCATCCAAAACAAAATACCATGATCTGTGTGATTTAAAAAACAGAAACTTATTTTTTTACAGTTTAGAGGTTTTGAAGTCTGATGTAAAGTTGCCAGTGTGATTGGGTTCTGGTGAAGTTGCAAATGGTTGCTTTCTTGCTTTATCCTCACATGACCTTTCAAGAAAGACTGAGTGAGACTCTGGTATCTCTTTTAAACTAATCGTGAAGATCTCACCCTCATGATTTCATGGAACCATAATTACCACCGAAAGACCCATCTTCAGATGGCATCAGTTGCAGGTGAAAGCATCAATATATGATTTTTTTTTTCAGTACTGGGGGTCCAATTCAGGACCTTGTGCTTGCGAGGCAAGCATGGTGCCGCTGAGGTAAATCCCCCACTCAGTGTATGGATTTTTTTTTTTCCCAATGGATTTTTGAGGGGACATGAACATTTAGTCCATAACAAAAGCAAACAGTACAGGTTGGATATTCCTTATCGGAAATGCTCGAGGTCAGAATTGTTTAGGATTATAGAATTTTTTAGAAGACATCATGATGTAATCCCAGCACTGGAGAGGCTGAGGCAGGAGGATTGCCACAAATATATAAATATATAAAAATAGACCAGCCTGGAGTACATAGCAAGTTCAAGATCAGCCTGGATGACTGAGAGCAAGATCCTATCTCAAAAAACAAACAAAACCAAAAAAGTTATTAGAGTATTAGCATATACCTAATGAGATATCTTGGGGACGGAAGCCATGTCTAAAGATAACATTTGCTTATTTTCATATACACTTTATACACATAGCCTGAAGATAATTTTTTACAATATTTTCAATAATTTTGGACATTTGATTTAGATGGGTCACATGTCAAGTGTGGAATTTTCCACTTGTGGCATCACGTTGGTTCTTTGTGGCATCAAGTTTCAGACTTTAAAGCATTTTGCATCTCAGATTTTTACATTAGGGTTGATCAACCTCATCTTGAAAGGAAGAGTATCTTTTTTTTTTTTTGGTACCGGAGGTCGAATTTGGGACCTTGCACTTGTGAGGCAAGCAGCGGCAGCACTGAGCTAAATCCCTGACCCTAACTCAACTTGATATATCTTGGTTTGGGTACGACAGAGTATATTTTTAAAAATGCATTTATTTTCCTTATTCAGCCTTCTTGTATCTTTAAAAAGAAAAAGTTCTTTCTTCCACCAAGTTGTTACTCTCTCTTTTCTTTTTCAGCCTTGCAAAGTGCGTCGTACGTGAACCATCTGTGTTGTCATTACTCATTCTCTCCTTAACATTTCATAGTTTGACTTCCAAATTCATATTATTTGAAAAGTGAGCCAAAATATCCCACTTGAAGATTCATTAACTTTTTTTCAGCTCTTGCCTTCCTTCTGAACCATTTGGCAATGCAGATGCCCTTTCTTTGGTTTCCACAGTATCATATCAACCTGATTCTTTCCTCTTTGTAATTGTCTTGTCTGGTGTCGAATACTTTCTCCATTTTACACATACAGGCCTGACCCAGGTTTCTGTCTCTAACCTTTCTTCCAGTTACTCATCACATTTTTTAACTGCTGGATACTTTTACTCTGAGTTTCCTTCCAGTTCAAATAATCAGAAACTAATCTTCCTCTTAATTTCCCTAATTTTTTAATGGCACTGTAATTTTTGGATTCATCTAGTCTTATTTTCTTTATTTTTTTACTTCTCCCCATTTTCCTTATACACTATTTGCCAACTCATTTTGTTTGTGCTCTCACAGTATGTTACATTCTTTACTCTTTGCTTTATTCATCTCCATTGCTTTATTCAGTTTTCCATCATGTCATTAGACCATTTTCATAGATTCATTAGTTTCATTCACTTTTACTTTATGTTAATTCATTTCCTTTTCTACATTATTGTATATCCTGCCTTGACCTGTCAAGTTAATATTACTAAAATAGGGATTTGGTCACTTACTTGCTAGGAGGGTATAGTTACTCAGATATATCATAATTTGTATCCATTTCTCATTGGAGTGTAATATACTAAAAGTAACTGACTGTTCTTAATTTTCATTTTCAAAATGTGTCTTGGTATTCTTTACTGAATGCATTTCTCATGTCTTGAATGGTTTGTTTACGTCCTGTAACTTAGGATCCTACCTATCCTTCAAGGCTGAATTAAAAATACTTGTACAGGGCCGGGGATTTAGCTCAGTGGTTTCGCTGCCTGCTGTGCAAGCGCAAGGACCCGAGTTCAATCCCCGGTACCAACTTGTACATAATTACAGTTAGATAGGAGGAATAAGTTGAAGAGATCTATAATTCTTCATGGTTAATGATGATTTATTCTTGAAAAATGCAAAGAAAGTGGGTATTTTTTACCAGAAAAATGGTATGTACTACATTAATAAATTTGTTCATGAGTTAGCTTTAACTGTTCCACAATGAATATATACTTCTAAACATCATGTTGTACACAGTAAATACATTCAATTTTATCTCTCAATTAAAAAAATAGTGCTT